CCTATGAACACCAGGCATCGGACGGCCTCCCATCCCATTCACCTTTTTATACGCCCCTATCTATGACATCACGTAGTCAGTAAACATGTGAGTAGTGTTCCAAAACGAGTATTTTTTTTTCTGAAAAGAACCGCCGTGTTTAAATAAATTAGTAAGCTAAAAAAAACTTCCAAATGGGGGCGCAGCGGCGCAACCCTTTTGATGGCTCCCTGGGTACCCTGGGCCTCTGCCCTGGGCGACCTCCCGGAACGCGTACTCCCGGTCCTGGTATAAAGTCCAGGATATCGAAAAAATAAGACGTTCTTTTTTTCTTTGGGGCTAATTTGAAGGAGGAACTATTTTCTGCGGTTGCGGTCGTCACGAACGTTTACAATTAGGGTCGATACGTCCTTATCAGTGTTCCAATTTCTTTCTTCTTTTTTACTAACTGTCGCTAAGCCCAGTTTCCACGCTTAATCACGTTCGGAATGTGTCGTTAGCCTACTGTTGTCCTTATTGATTTGTGTTCCCTACACTGCGGCTTCGACTTATCAGGAATATATCTATCCTTTTTGTCACCCATAAGAGCGTTTCCTCTATTACTATTAATTACACTAAACTCGGTCCTAAAATTTCTCCACCAGATAACCCGTTATTCGCGACTCACCACCAAATAAACATGGCGGCTGAGTCCAGGTCGCGTCGGCTCGGCCGGGCCGCCTGAATAGGTGGTGCGTTCAATTTAACAGATTTTATTTTGTTTAATGCCCAATTTTATAGGTATTTGAACTGAGACGGTTAAGTGTAGCCGGTGCACATAAACTTGCAGAGCATAGTTTTGTTTTCCAATTGTGTTTTTTGTTCTTGTCATGTCAAACTTTCGTTTCGGAGATTTCGTTCGAAACCGAAACTATGGGCTCTGGAGAGACGGTAATATACTAATCAGTTTTGATCATCTAAGGCAAGCGGCAATGAATGCAGAATTCTCCCACCGACAGTAATTTTCAGGCAACTCGCATGCCTCGACCATGCGACTTATCTGTCCGCTAAATCGAGCTTTTGTGCATATCCGCGTTTAAGAAACAGCTTCAGTCGTATGCTCGGTCAACAACACAGGCTGCAGGAAAATTGCGAAAATTAAGCAAGCGCTTCTTGAGCCAAGGAGCATGTTACCCCGCCGGCACCCCACTAAGCTGCTGATACTCGTATTTCAATTCAGGTTTTAGTAGCAATCGAGAAGTCATTTTGACGAGCGGGTTATGTATTATATTACGTACTATGGGGGGGGGGGGGGGGTCTCACTAAAGCAATATTAGTATATTCTTCGGTTTGAAATATGAGCTTAGTTGACTAGCTATTAGGTGAACTGCTGAATAAAAAATATATTTGACAGACAGAGAGATACTAAGTTAAACTTAACCAAATTGTTCTAGCCGGTAGCACGGAGACGAATGCGGACAAACTGAAGAGAGTCTTCATTGGAGATTCACGCAGAACCTCTCTGCATTGAACTTGACTTCGAACCCTGAACAGAAAAAATGAGTATTTTTGTGGTCGGTCAACCTGAGCAATGTAGACGTATATTGCTGCTGGCTTAATTCGACGGGTGTATAATATAAATATTGGAGGCGCGATAGGTCAAAATGCCGTGACAGCATCTAACGTTGCGAGACGTGTCCCCCCACCTTTTGAAAACAGATAATTCCCCTCATTCATCATTTGCAGCGAGCAGGTTTTCCTGAATCAAGTAATTGCGAAATCAGCCAAACTCCTTCAGAGTGGTCCAGAGGATTTTTTGGCGAAAAGCAGCCAAGATGAATAGCCAACGCACCGACCGGCGTGGGTGGCTCAAACTTGAAGCTAATCGAACACAATCAAACTCAAGAAAAGCAGCTATCGAACCTTCCCATTCACTTGACTGCAGCATTGGTGTTCCCTCCAGTGAAATGCCTCGTCTGTCGTCCTCCCACTGTTCTACATCCTGATAAAGAAACCCCTTATCGGTTACCAAGTAGTCGTCATTTTGAATGTGATTCGAGACAGACAAGAAATCAAAACGTTTTTTCCGCGATTCCTCCCCATCCAAGAAATCGAAAACACGTGATGGAAGGAAACAATCTACTGAAGTTTCGCCACACTAATGAAATTCCCGGACCTTCGTTAAATGACATTGTTCACCACCGCGCCGACAACACGTGCCCGCGAAAGCCACCAGAGGCGCGGAGGGGCGTGGAGCGACCTGGACCGGCTGGTTCCCGGTTTTCCCGCTTGGTGGCGTCCGTTTTGCTGGAGTCGCGAATATTGTCCTTGTAAGTAATTTTTTATCAATTTATTCGTGTGCGGAGCGCTTCGTGACACACCTTTAATATGCCTGCTTTAAGTGCGCTTGAAACTGGATTTTAAGGGCTTTCAGAACAAACTCATGAAATAATCGAGAAATCGGCTCGCAATCTCCACTCTGCGCGTGCCCAACAGCGTGCACTGGTTCGCCGAGTTTCTAAAAGAGTTAAATCGGAGAACCTTTTGGCAGCATTCCCAAGAAGGGGTATACTGTACTTTAATGCATTATACCCCATTTTCTTGGGAGTACCTATAAATACTTCCAATGAGTGTATCCCTTCAAATGGAGAAAAAAAATTTCGACACGTGGTTACTTCTTTGTTCAAACCAGCGTTTTATTCAACCAAAGTTTATTGCTGGGCCCTCATGGTCGTGCAAAAAATTACTAAATAATTTGCGAAAAAAAAAAGAGAAAATAAAAAGAGCACAGTCAATAAAACCAGTTTTCAAAATAATAAACATAAGCAACAAATCTTACAAACTAATAACACACAAAGAAATGACTTTCTTAACATTGCTGCTATTGAAAGACCTTAGTTATTTTATAAGTTCGTATATTTATGGTCATGACTAGGCCGACTTGTAAGGTACAGTGCTAATCATACTTGTCTATAACGCGCGGGCGTGCAGCTTTCTCCGGGGAGCCCTGGGCTGGTGGCATTCGCGGAAACTAAGCTAGTCACGTGGCGCAACATGGAACGGGCCGCTCGAGGGGTGTTCTGCCCACTCTATCAGCTGGCGGCGAACGCGGAAGGCTGCTCGCACGCTTTTACAAACATCATTGCTCGAACAATAAACAGACTAAAGCATGATGGCGTATCAACGATGTCGTCATCAAAAAACAAAAATATATCATAAAGCACTTTATTTTTATCGCTTATCAAGCTGATACAGTGGGCAGGACACCCCTCGAGCGGGCCGTTCCATGTTGCGCCACGTGACTAGCTTAGTTTCCGCGAATGCCACCAGCCCAGCGCTCCCCGGAGAAAGCCGCTCGCTTGCGCGTTATAAACAAGTGTGATGAGCACTGTACATAAGTGACCTTACAGACAACACAGAAACTTCAGGTGCATCACGTGATTAATGACTCTAAATGAATAAAAAAAGATAAGGCTTCAAATATTTTCTTTTTTTCGTGTACAAAAAAGTGAAAGCCGTTTACAACTCCCTGTAACAACGAATTAGAGCGCAGCTCTTGAGGAGGAGGAGGGAAGGGTACTGGGGGGTGAAGTGACCTGGGGGGTCACGTGACCTTGGGGAGTCACGTGACCATGCCGATGATGTCATCAGTGACGTCACTGATGACGTCATCAGTGACGATGCGGACTCCGATGACGTCATCAGCGATGATGACGATGATGATGCGGATGTCGGTGACGTCACTCATGACGTCATCTGGGATGATGACGATGCGGATGCCCCCCGAAGTCACGTGAAACCCCCAGGTCACGTGACCCCCGCCGAGGTCACGTGACCTCCCCGATGACGTCATCGTCACTGATGACGTCACCGGCATCCGCATCGTCATCATCACTGATGACGTCATGTGACGTCACTGATGACCTCACCGGCATTCGCATCGTCATCGTCATCATCACTGATGACGTCATCTGTGATGATGACGATGACGATGCGGATGCCCCCCGAAGTCACGTGACACCCCCAGGTCACGTGACCCCCGCCGAGGTCACGTGACCACCCCGATGACGTCATCGTCACTGATGACGTCACCGGCATCCGCATCGTCATCATCACTGATGACGTCATCAGTGACGTCACTGATGACCTCACCGGCATCCGCATCGTCATCATCACTGAGGACGTCATCAGTGACGTCACCGGCATCCGCATCGTCATCATCACTGATGACGTCATCAGTGACGTCACCGGCATCCGCATCGTCATCGTCATCATCACTGATGACGTCATCAGTGATGATGACGATGCGGATGCCGGTGACGTCATCGGGGAGGTCACGTGACCTCGGCGGGGGTCACGTGACTTCGGGGGGGGGTCACGTTTCTTCAGGGGGGTCACGTGATTTTGGATGTCACGTGACCTTGGGGTGACCTTGGGGGTCACGTGACCTTGGGGGCCACGTGACCTTGGGATGACCTTGGTTACGCCGACGCCGCTCAAGCCGGGAACGGGCCCCTAAGAGCTGCGCTCTAAAAGTGAAAGCCGTTTACAACTCCCTGTAATGCCGAATTGGAGGGCAGCTCTTGAGGAGGAGGAGGGAAGGGTACTGAGGGCCGCGTGTTCTCGAAGGGGGGGTCACGTGACCCCCCCCCCCCGAGGTCACGTGACCTCGGGGTGGGGAAATTTCCCCGCTAGACTTAGCGGGGAAATTTTTCCCGCTAGCTTTAGCGGGGAAATTTTTCCGCTAGATTTAACGGGGAAATTTTTTCCGCTAGATTTAGCGGGGAACTTTTTCCGCTAGATTTAGCGGGGAAATTTTTTCCGCTAGATTTAGCGGGGAAATTTTTCCGCTAGATTTAGCGGGGAAATTTTTCCGCTAGATTTAGCGGGGAAATTGTTCCGCTAGATTTAGCGGGGAAATTTTTCCGCTAGATTTAGCGGGGAAAATTTTCCGTTAAATTTAGCGGTGAAACTTTTCCGCTAGATTTAGCGGGGAAGTTTTCCCGCCAGATTTAGCGGGGAAATTTACCCATAATGCACCGCGCGGTTACGCCAACGGCGGCGGCGACGCCGCTCAAGCCGGAAACGGGCCCCTAAGAGCTGCGCTCTAAAAAGACCTCTGGTCGCTTCGTCTAAGGGAAATTCACATTTTTTATCTGTGTTTGCGCAATAAATAACAGGCTGAAACATTTTGAACTGTGCAAAACACACACTGCTTGCAAGTAGAACCGCTGCAGGTCTATCGCCAAGCCAAATGAACACACGTCGGTGCTAGAGTATTTCGTTTAAATCCCTTCCACAACTATGATGCACGTTGCTGTTTCGATAACTTGCGATGTATCTTCCGATGAGCGTGTAAATTGCTATGAGCCGCGAACGCTCTACCGCAGGTCTCACACTTGAACGGCTTCTCTCCGGTGTGAGTCCTCTCATGATTCGCCAAGCGAGTTTTCTGAGTGAACGCCCTGCTGCACCTGTACGGCTTCTCTCCGGTGTGAGCCCTCACATGCATCGTCAAATCGCATTTCTGAGTAAACGCCCAGCTGCACGTGTTGCACTTGAACGGCTTCTCTCCGGTGTGAGTCCTTTCATGATTCGTCAAATGGGTTTTCTGAGTGAACGCCCTGCTGCACGTGTTGCACCTGTACGGTTCTCTCCGGTGTGAGTCCTCACATGCATCGTCAAATCGCATTTCTGAGTAAACGCCCTGCTACACGTGTTGCACTTGAACGGCTTCTCTCCCGTGTGAGTCCTCTCATGACTCGCCCAATGGGTTTTCTGAGTGAACGCTCTGCAGCACGTGTTGCACTTGAACGGCTTCTCTCTGGTGTGAATCTTCTCATGAACCGCCAAGTTGTGTTTCTGACTAAACGCCCTGCTACACGTGTTGCACTTGAACGGCTTCTCTCCCGTGTGAGTCCTCTCATGACTCGCCAAATTGATTTTCTGAGTGAACGCCCTGCAGCACGTGTTGCACTTGAACGGCTTCTCTCCGGTGTGAATCTTCTCATGAACCGCCAAGTTGTTTTTCTGAGCAAAGGCCCTGCTGCACGTGTTGCACTTGAACGGCTTCTCTCCGGTGTGAGTTCTAACGTGAGCCTTCAAGTAAGACTTATCCGGGAACGTTTTCTCGCAAACATCGCAACTGAAGGGCCTCTCTCCAGTGTGAGTCCTCTCGTGGATGGCGATACCCGCTGCAGAAAGACATGAGTGAGGACAGAAGCGGCACCGGTGCTTGTCCGGGTTTCGGTGCGTTTGCTGCTTTTGTGGGTTGGTTGGGGGAGAGGTGTCACCCCTGCGGCTGTCCTGGTCGAAGGTATCCACTTTGTCGCCAGAGTATGCTTCGATCAGGTCTGTTGGGATGACAGGACAAAGCAAGAAATGTCGGCGCTGTTTTTGTTGTTCTGAACATGGGAATTTTGAGTACCTAGATGAACATGGTCCAGAATACCTACATCATGCCGGTGCAGCGAAGAGTAGGTATTCATTCATTTGAGATGTTAAAAAGGTTCATTCGTAATGCTTGTAAAGGTCTATAGGCAATCGTTTAAGATTCCACTCTGGCAGCCCCATGCTGCGGCAGCTGTGGTGGCTTGCGCGTTCTCCTAACCAAGTGCGGAAGGAAAGTCAAGCCGCCGCGGCTGCTGCTGCACAGTGTTGGCGGTAACGTGTTACAAGTAACGTCGTTACCGGTAGCGCCTTTTTTCTTTCTGTAACGTAGTAACGTATTCATTAGTTTTCTAAATCTACAAATTTTCTAAATTTTTCCAATCTTTTCCCCACGAAAAAATTTCCGCTTTAGAAAAACCCCAACCAGCGCCTGTCATGTTAAAGTCGAAACACGCTGTCGCCAAAAGAAAACAAAAGCGCTGTTACCGTCAATTTATAAAAAAAAAGTAACGCAAAAGTAACGTGCGTTACGTTCTGTCGGCGACATTATCGCGTTCCTTTATTTCGCAAGTAACGTAGTTCTTTACTCTTTTACGGTAACGACTACAACACTGCGGCTGCTTACCGCTGCCAGTACGAAGCGCCGGGTGATAGCGTGTCGACATTCATAATGATCGCGACTGTGTTTTAAGTGACGCTGGAAGGGTCATTCACACACAGATTATTAGGTTACACAAAATAGCATTCAATAAGCTCGTGGAACAGGGATGGGCAAAATACATGCAAATATGTATCGAAATACAAATACAAAATACTTCGTCAAAAATTTATTTAATTACAATTCTAATTACATTTCCAAAAAAGCATCTAACTACAAGATACAAATACAGTCAAACGTATTTGGTCTCCTCCAAATACTTTTTCAAATACATTCCTCAAAATTTGCGTCAGCGACTTCAGGGCACCGCAACGGGTTTCTGGTTATCTCATTTTAATTTTGCATCGCACACTCGGGAGTTAGTGTGCGAGGCTCTAGTAACGTAATTGAAATATAATCACAAAAAATGTAATCAGCTTGGACGTAATAGGTTAAAAAAGTACAGAGCTTCAAGCAGAATTTTTTGTCGATTACATTTTGGTATAGACCAACAAAGAACAGAGACGACCAAGATGCGCAGCACTAGCTAGAGAATTTTTTATTGCTGCAACTCGCACCAGTTACGACAATCTGGACGACCCGCGCATTTAGAATGTTCCAGGCAAAAATATGGATGGAAATCAGGCTGGAAAGCATCACACGTTGTCACGGGCACTTGTTTAGCCAGTCTGCCTGTGAACGTCGATTTCGTCACTATTCTGGACTAGCACCGTAATCACAAAGTCACTAAACGCTTGTGCTTGATTGAGAGACACTGCATTTGGCGCAGAACGTAGTTTTCTTCCTGCTCTGGACAATGACAATAAATTTGAGGGATGTATTTTCGCCCACAAAATTGTATTTAATTACAATTGTATTTGAAATACCCACGTTTTAATATTTAAATACACACTTCAAATACATTACCCAATTTGTAATTAAATACAAATGCAAAATACACAAAGTATTCAAAATACGTGTTTCAAATACTTGTATTTGAAATACTGCCCATCCCTGTCTTGGAATAATCGTGTGCATCTTAGAAACTTGAAAAATCGCTAAGGTACACAGTAATTATTTTACGAGTGATTTTAAACAGCAAAAAACGCGGTTCTATATCGACAATGATGTGGACATTTGCCAGCCTATAGCTAAACTTCTAAAGCAGGGGTGGCCAGGCTGACCCGGCCTAAGACCAGCAAACGAAAACCCCCAAACTTCCAAGAGCCGCAGGGGGGGGGGGCAGGCAAACTTTTGTTCAGTGCAGTAAACGAAACTCGAGCAACTTTCTTTCAATCAATCCGAGTAAAAAGCAGTCCGACTGTACGTAAGGCAGCAGTAGCACAAGGCTACCAAACTGCAACCTGTCTTTCGATTTAAAACGCGGTCCATTTCACTTTTTATGGGGGGGGGGGGGGGGGGGGCCGGTGAAGCCGCGAGCCGCACTTTAACACGCGAAGAGCCGCAGCTTGGCCACCCCTGTTCTAAAGCTTCGATCATTTGGAACAGCCAAACATATTTTGGGCTATTTCATGCGTCGAAAATTATTTATAGCATTTGTGAAAGCTACTAGATCAACCGGAACTGAAGGAAAAAATACAAGTTTGTAATATAAATAAACAACTCGGCATGGTACATTTCTCTGATATCAAATACTATGTATGCGGTATATTTTTTCGGTTTGGTGCAGACCGCTAATTAAAACTTAATGAAGTTTCCACGTGGAGAAAACTTTGTCTACCACATCAGACTCCTTACGTTTTCCACCTTCTAAAAAACCGAGCCTACAAAAAGGTTTTCTATCCGTGTGGGACCGTTCATGAATCTGTGAGGGTGTGCTAAGAGGGTACGAGGCTGTATGACTGTTTTCCCGTGTGCTTCTTCTCATACCTGGTGTTGTTAGTTCCGTGGGCACCATAAGATTGGCGGCAGAAGTCGCACCGCCGTCCGTCCTCCCCTCCTGGTCCATCTTCAATGGTTGCCTCTGCAATTCGGCTCCTTGGAAGGAGAGCTCCGCCCCCTTGTCCTCGTAGTCCGTTCTCTGCCATTCGGAGTCGGATGCTGCGTGGGCAAGTTCTGTTAGGACTGAAGATCAAATTTTGTTTTGTTCATTTTTTTATACTATACCAATACAGAAGCTCAATCACAACGAAACTTAAGGAACAAGCAAACAAAAACACATCATGCTGATGAAGTAGAGAAATTCAGGGGTTTACATTGATATTGCAGTGTAATTCAAAACGTAAAATAATAATATCACGATCAAACACCCGCACCATTACTTGATACTGAATACACCGAAAACGTCGACTGTAAAAATGCACGTGAATCAAACATAAAAGTGATCCTTCTCTATTAATACGTGCTTCGAAGGTTTTACTTCACCTTTAAACATACGGTAAAAGATTACTTCGATACAGATCTACATAAATCATGAAAGACACAACTGGGTACGATCAAAGAGCGTGGTTTAGTTACATCGCTCCTGCTCTGTAGTGCTGAAAAAAGGCAGGCATGCCACAAAACCAACAACTGCACGGTATATCGCCGCCACAGGTTTTGAGAATTACACGTGAACAAAATGGACATGGTGTGTCGGCGAACGAAGGTAGGGACGGGAATGGAAATGTTGCATGTAGTTGGCTGAGCTGTGGCCATCTCCTATTTGATCTGACTAGTAGGTCCCATTTATCTGGGAAAAACGTAGCCCAAGGTTCTGGCACTGCCATAGGTTGGCACTCTTTCCCAGGCAGCGAAGGATCGCTCACGCTTGCTTTAAGAGGATTTCCGGATAGTTCGGCCTGCAAAGTTTAGAAGGATGAGGGTTAATAAACAGTCGCCAACACAAAGTTACTTTACCTGCAATCAAATAGCATCACATTGGATGAGTGCAACTAAAACTGAAGGATACCAGTGCCTGGAATTGGTCCAGTTGGCTATTCATTACTTGATTAAACTGCGGAGTAAATGATTATGAATTACGACGCAGAGGCGAGAAAAAAGAAGGCAACAATCGGGAAAATGCGCATTTGCAGTTCAGTTTAATCAAGTAAAAAACTGAAGGCCACTTTCGAGATTAAACAGGGCATGGATAATAACACCATTTGTCAGTAGGAGGGTTTCTGCGAGAAATTTTAATCTGAAGGACGCGAAAAAAATAAGTCCTATGCGACTACACCATTTCCAAGTGTGAATGTTTTGGCCAAATGACACTGACCCTTTCTATTTCCACGAGAGATGTTTCATTATATATGCAGCGTAAAACCGCTAGCGAGGAGGAAAATGTTTGCCGGTTCCGTCTGTGCCGCATACACGCGACTAATGCCACCATTTATAAAATTATATGCAGTGTAGATCAATCATTCAGGCTCGCATTTTGTCAACAACTAACGTAAGCGGGGCCCACTTAGGGAGAACGAGTTTTACCCGAGATACTTGGTTCACGTTTCACGAGTTCCCCATAGAACCCCATTGGGAAAAAGCCTTTTAGATCATCCAGAAGTTGAATATAAAACGCTATAATTTGGTTAAGGGATCTTCATTATAAATAATCACCATTCAACGCGAGTACAAAAGTTTACAGTCCTTATTGCAACGCAAATGTTTGTTTTCTCCTTTTTATTTCTTCCAACTCAAGACAAGCTCGAGTGGCTTTCTCCTCTTGATCTTAAGAGAAGGTGAAACGCTTCTTCCGAAAAATGAGATAGAGGTTGATTTCTGCGTTGTTTGATCCCGTAATTCTGAAGATTTGGTTCGTTTTCTCCGAAGATGTAACTAAACCCGAGAACACGCGAAAAACGTCCCACCAGTCGTTACGCCATAAAAGCATCTTTCGGCCGCCATGCGCGTGTCGCTCGTGAGCAATTGCAGACTTGCCGCTCCCCCGCACTGACAGCAATCATGACGCCTTTTTTTTTTTTTTTTCCTTTTTAAAAATAGCAAGACTCGCGTGCATAACTTCGATAGGCACTGAAGATGCGCGAAAGCGGAGATTCCGGAAACTCCGTTTATGATGGCACGCTCCGGGAAGGAGGGGCTTCAGCGGTACTTTGAAAAGGGTTTATCTCCCAGGCGAAAATTTCTAACTGGGACCAGTTGGCACCTCAACTGGTTTCAACTGGGACTAACTGGTCCCAACTGGGAATCAACTGGGACCAATAGGAGTCCCACTCGGGACCAGCTGAGGGGCCAACTGGTTTGAACCATTCCCAGTTGGGAGTCAACTGGTTTGACTCCCAGTTCGGAATGGAGGGAACTGGGACCAGTTAGGAAAGCAACTGGTTGGAGCGATTCCCAGTCGGACTTCAAATGCCTTTCCCGTTCCCAGTTCACACGGGGCAACAATTTTGACAAGTTGGGGGTGTATTGACCTTGGCTAATGGAGAAAACTAAAAACACTTAGATTTTTAGGTTTATACAAATAGGGAAATGTTTAATTACTGGGTACATTTTTATATTTATGAAAATAATATAAAAAGTTTAATTAACTAAATAATTTTTTAATTGGAAAATATAATTAGTGACAAAATGTGTTCAACTAAATGAACATTTAGTGCATCATTAAAATATATTAAAACATTTATTTAAACACCTACAATATTTCTTTTTCTTTTAATAAATAAATTTATCTTTTGGCCAATCAGAGCTAGCCGGCCGCCGTGGCATGCGGGTGCGGAATAGTGGTACGCGCTGTCGACAGATGGCGCTGCCTATGCTGACGCCGGAGTCGAGCGGACGCGGTAGAGAAGGGTCGCCATCGCCCAAGTTGGCGTCGTTATGAAAATGTCAAAACTACAGCTGCACTTCTTTGGACCTAACTGTACACACACCACGGTGGCGGCGGTGAACTTCGAGGACGGAAAGATGCAGTTTAGCGATCGGAGGGCACCCAGGAAAGACCGGACGGAAGAGAAAACACCACGGAGAGCAAAATGGCGAAAATGGCGGGAGGTCTACCTCGAAAATGTTCGACTGCTGTGACAGATTGCAAGGTGGGAGCGCTACCGCATCCTATCAGGACTTCACCTGCGCAACGCGGGATCACGGGTGAGCACCTTTCTTCACGCGATGGGGAGAGAAGCTGAGGACGTCTTCACTAACAGACACCAGCGGCCGATCTTCCTTTTCATCTCACGAATACTACCTCCGAAAAAGCGATTCAACCGTCGCAAGCAAGTGGCTAAACCCGGAGCGTGTACGTCACCGAACCTATTATTTAGTTTCATTCTCCAAGTTTTTGACAATAAAGTCTTGTCAACCTTCCATTTTGTTTCATTGTAGCTGGAGTTGGTACCAGCGGTAACTGGGACCAACTCTAACTGGGCCCATTGTAACTGGGACCGATTCCAGCTGGGATCAACTCGAACTGGGACCAGTTGGACAACTCCAACTGGGACCAGTTGCAACTGGGAATTGTTTCATAAACCAGTTGAAAATTTTCGCCTGGGCTGCTGCTTCTGTGCATGAAATTGAAATATAATTTCAACATTGGGCTTCCTGGAAGCCGAATTAAGACATTATAAGTGTGTTTTCTCAATTACAAAACCGCTTCAGCTTCCCTTTGAAGACGTCTTATCTTCAAGACCGCCATAACTTTACACATTTCGAATCCCTCGTTAGTTCATTCGTAGTTTTGTTTATGCATTTTTAACAACTTCTACACACCTCCTCTCTAAAGTCTTCCCGGACCCTGAGGGCTTGGTTCAGGCTGGAATATGGCTCTTATTACTGATTCTGTTCAGCCCTGTTCCACCAGCTTTTCAAAACCAACTTTAGGGGTCGGTTTTGGTACCTGGTGAGAGCGATAGCATTCTCGGTTACTGATTGGACACGACGCCTCAGCGTTTTTCTCTGCGAGAGTTATCGACAAGTGCGAAGTCATGTTACTAGATAATCTCTAGTCTGTTCGCGAGTCCTTTTGGTGAGAGCTTCTCACTAACACACGGATGGTGACAGGGTTCTCAAGGTATTTAAAGTATTTCTCCCGAGTGCTACATACATAGGAGAATTTGACCTATATAGGGCAGCACAGCTGGAAATTTGCAGAGGGAGCGCTTGTTGTCGATCCCATCGAACGGGAAGTATAGCAGACCATTTTAGTTTCAGCTTGCGCCCCGTATCACTTCCTCGCGGCACTCGGCTTTTAGCAGACGGCTGCCTTTATTCCCGTCTGTTAACAGAATATGTGAATGTATTTTCTTGTTCTATTTTTGTCTGCGAATGACGCTTCGTAGCAGACGAATTCTACTGTTCACTTACGTTAGCAGACTGATCATCTGCTGACGTTTTCTTGACTCGCTCCGTAAAGTCCCGGTAAGACTGCTCGTACACCAAGGAAAAAGCAGTGTGCAAATACCATCTCAGGCGCGTTTCTCTCTCGTGTCATCTCATATTGGGCCTACCAAAACCGTCTGTGGACATGTTCAAAGCACCCATATATGTGTGCTTTGAACACGTCTGCCGGTATTTTTCTTAAGACCCAATATGAGAGTACTGTCATAAAGGAACGAATTTTGGCAGTTGACACACTTGTGACTGCTTACGACCGGAGGGGCTTGTGAACCATCTGGTGACTGCTGATGACCGGCCGCTGCGCTGCAGGTCATAAGTAGTCGCCAGTGTTTTAAGCATCTGCGGTTGTAAGCATGGCAATAAGAAATTAGTATACCTGCCTTTACTTGAGCAAGCAATATAGCAAACACGCAGGTAGTGCACATTGTTTCACCGTTTTAGAAATAAGACCCACCCCTTTCAGAGATTCCACATAATAAGCCAAAAGTAAGACACACTATTTAGTTTGTCCGCATTAAGGCATACTTTGAGGGATTATGCAGTTTCAATCAATAAATGTATGACAGGCTTTGTAAGGGGTGGAAGGGGCCGGGGGGGGGGGGGGGGGGGGGGGGGTGAGGGCAGTAAATAGGCAAAGTGAGGTAAGGCAGACAATGGAACGTTTACACGCAGCAGGCTCAACTGTAGCCATCTCATTTGATCTGACTCTGTCGCATACGTGTAAAGACAAAATGTAGCACAAAGACGTTGCACCACCGAAGGGGGACTCGGCTGGTGACAGGCCACCTTTCCAAAGCTGCGAAGTGTCGTTC